GAAAATTGAAGTTCCCTTACCTTTTAATATTCCATTACGGAAGTGAAGAACAGCAGTGTTTCACAAGTATATCTGAGCCTAAACAGCTCCAGTAAATACTTGGTAACTTTGTGGAAACAGAACTGCTGCTTGGAGAGCAGTTACAGTTTTGTGCAGCAGCTTTATGGAAGTTATTTTCTGATTACAGTTTACAAATATTTGAAAAAATGTCTTTGATAAAATCTGCTAACGTGGAATACGTGTTTCTGAAAATAAAGCCATTTCGGTTATCACTGAAACTACCTCCTGTGAGAGTATTTGCTGTCGGGCGAGTCGACCTCCGTACCGTGCAGGCAGCACCCGGGCGAGCGCAGGGCCTAGAGGCGGCAGCCGCGTGAAGACGCTCCCAGGGGCCGCGGGCGCAGCCGGAACGCAGGCCCTGGCCTCAGTCTCGGTGACGAGGGGAAAGAGTGCAGAGGCTGCTGAGACAGCAGGGCGTGGGGAGCAGCCGGGCGCCCGCGGGCGCAGCGCCGGGCCGAGGGCGGCAGGTAGAGCTGCGAGCTGGGTGCCGCTGCGCGAGAGCCGCCCGCGCGGCCCGAGCGCTCTGCGAACACGAGTGCTCCCTCGGGGAGGGTCGGCCTCGAAGGGCCGCGCGGCCAGGGCAGCAGGCCTGCGCCAGAGCCAGCTCCTCTTGGAGTGGCTCTTCTGGCCAAACACGGAGCGTTGGCCTTTACCGTGGACTTTGGTTTTCGGGGAAGATAAGTAGCTCTGCTTCCTGGATGGCAATTGCTAGCGCTTAGTGTTTGGAGATTGTTTCAGCCTGTTGAGGTGATAAAGGTACACGCTGAACGACATCAAATTAATTTCATTTGCTGATAACACGGCTACGGTTATGCAAACTTCATTTTTTTCATTGAGTGATAAAAGTTACAGTATCTTAGTATTTAAGATCATTATTTTACAACTGTTCCTTTTTGCCTGCGCTCCTGGTGTTTAGAAACAAGTGCTCTGGGTAGTTAATTTGTTTCTGAGATTGGGAAGCGTATGGAGAATGTGGATCATCTTGCTCTGTGATCAGACTTGTCTCACTTCACACACAGTATTTTCCTGACCATGTGGCAGCCTGTACTTAAACCCTGGGAGTTATATCCGAGTTGGATGAATAGTCTAGAGGTTATGAGGTACTTGGAATCTAAGTTTCAGTTATCTTCTCTTGCAAAAAAAAAAGGAAAACTAGAAGACTCACAAAAGCAAGTCTTAGCTTGTATTTGCTCTGTGCAAAATGCTCAAAATTTTCTACCTGAATTTCAGTAAACCAAGTAGGAGCTCAGCTGCAGTGCAAGAATTCATGAAGTTGCTTGTATACCTAAAAACGAAGCGGATGAAGGCTGCCAATATTTCAGGATTTTTAAGGGAAATGCTTGGGACTTAAATGCTAATAATGCATGGCTTTCAGCTACAGCTTTCTCACTATTGTTTTACGTGTTCCAGAGATGCTGAAGATAAACACAAGCTCATAACAAGGACAGAAGCAAAAGAAGAGTATCTCCTTAAAGACTGTGACTTAGACAAGAGAGAACCAGTGCTCAGGTTTATCGTGAAGAAAAACCCTCATAATTCACGGTGGGGTGACATGAAACTTTATTTAAAACTACAGGTATAGAAACTGTTAGCATTTTTAAGACCTTTTTTTTACCTTCTGTGTCTTTGGTCGTGTGTCATTTAGGTTTTGAGTTCTGAATCACAGGGACAAAGCTAAGTACCTTCTACCATAGCAGACCTGTAGTTAGTACCGCTTGTACGAGTGTTTGTGGTAAAAGGAGCTAGGGCAATTCATGAAAATGTCCCTGTTGGAGACCTGTGTGTCCTGAAATCTCAGTGAGTCTCTCTGCTCGTGAACTTGGTGCTGCAGCTACTGCTGCTCGTGGCCTGTTGTGGCTCAGGGCCTCGTGTCCCCTGCCCTGCTCTCGCAGAAAGGGCAGCCAGATTCTGCCCGTTCTGTGTGAATGTTCCTGTATGTGAACATGCACAAAATTAATTTGCTTTGATGAGTAAATTATGTCTAGCTGATGAAAAATCAGTTTTGTAGCCGTCTTTTACTGTAGAAGGAACGTCGTCGTTTGCAGGTTGAGAGCAAAGAGGCAGAGATGGGAGGCAGAGGCAAGATTCTCGGTAGGGTCTATTTATTTTGTATACATGTTGGGAAAAGTTAAACGTGCAAGTTAGTGTGTTTTGTCACTAAAATGTGCTTATCCTCAGGGAAGAAACACGTGTATATCCATCCTGCAGGTGATCAAACGCTCTCTGGAAGTCTGGGGTAGCGAAGAGTCATTGCAAGAAGCCAAGGAACTGCGCCGTGGTAACAGAGAGAAGATGAAGCAGAAGAAATTTGACAAAAAAGTTAAAGGTAACCCTTTTAACTAACTAACTTTCGCGTTGCAGTATGTAAAGCAGCATCCACCTCTGCTGGGGCTTGTTCCTGCGTCTGATTAACACGGCTGGAAAACAAGTTCCCAGCGTGGCAAGATGGAGCTTTCCCAGAGCTGCCTGGTAAAGCCGGAGCAGCCTGGCCTGACCTCACAGCTGACCCAGTTTGAGCAGGGGGTTGGACTAAAGCACTGAGGTCTCTTCCGGACTGAATTTATCCTATTATCCTATGCAAATCATGTAAGCAACAGAAACTGAGTATGGTGCGTCTTTTTAATAATTATTATGGCTGCTTGTATGATCTAGAATGTACCAGAAGTTGCCTCTCCCAGTTACTCCTCTGGGCTTCAGGAGAACATGTGTTTGTGGGAGTGCTACAACTCTGCCATGCATGTGGTTATTTAGGTGGGATCCCTGTAAAGGAAGGTGGAAGATGGCTTTTCCCACCATGTTGCTAAGAATGCTCTCTGCTGCTGCTTTTAATAGCCATTATCTTTGGGAATTTTGGGGGGAGAGGATAACTCAATTAAAATTTAGAGTACGTTTACTGGGTAGAACTCCAGAGAAAGACGTTGAGCACGCTCTAGTCTCTTCTTCAAAAATGTTGTGATTTTTGTTTTTGCTGCGAGAGCTGAGTCTGGGTTTTGGGCGTTTGGTGGGTGTTTGTTGCACGAGGGTCGCTGCAGAGCGCGGCACAGGCCTCGGTGGAGCAAGCATTCCCATTGCCAGCCGGAATGGCGCGGCCGGCAGTGCTGCACCCTCCTGTTCATTTGCATGCCCGACGCCTGCGTGCGGGTTCCTGCAAAACGTGCCTGTCTGGTGCAACTTGTCTGCAGCGCCGGGGCAGTGCCCGGCGGGGCTGGGCTGAGCCTGGGGCTCGCTTAGCTCCAGCGCTGCCGCAGCCACGTGCTGCCGTGGGGGAAATGCGCCTTCTGGGGGCTGTGAGCAGAAACGCAGCCAGCACTTGTTTTGCAAAGCTCTGGCCCAGGTTCTCCTCCCAATTTAGCTGGTTTTTGTGAAATACCTCTGAATGACATTCTGTGGTGAGGCAGTGAGCACCTCCTACTTGCTTCAGATGAAAGTGTTTTATTTATATATTTTTTCCTTGTGCTGTGTCGTGTCAGTGAATTTCCTTTCAATTTAAATAATACGAACAAGGTGAGGTTAAGACTGCAAGGAAAATCAAAGTATTTTCTTGGAATAGCAGCCTCTTCCCCTTAACCTGCAGAGGATGGGGCAGTAAAAGCAAACTCTGCTCCGCGATTCCCCACAGAGGTGAGGGGCTTGGCCTTCAGAATCACCAAAAAAGCTTTTTCTGATGTTCCCTTTCAGAACTCCGCCGTGCAGTGAGGAGCAGCTTGTGGAAGAAAGAGACTACTATGCACGAGCATGATTATGGACCGGAAGAAAACATTGAGGAAGATATGTATAAGAAAATATGCACTATATGTGGCCATGAATTAACTTACGAGAAGATGTAGTATAATCATATTCTTTTTTAAATTTGTCTTTTTAATGATATTCTGTATTAAAGTCTAATAAACTGTGATCATGAACAAACTGTTTCCACCTCGTATGCAAAGAACAGTGTTCCTCAGCTGTAAGAAGCTTTGTACCTAAAAATAAGCTTTAGCTCTTTAAATTGGAGTTTGGGAATATAGCATATGCCTTTTAAAGAAATTGCTCCTCTAGGCAGAGCCGGCATCCTGCTGTTGCACAGGATGATGAAACAGGGAGGTGAAGGGCCGAGCCCACAGGGGTTGCGGGAGGAGGAAGTCTCGATCTTGTCCCAGCACCCAAGGGGTGCCAGACAGCACCTGGACACTGCTGCTTTGAGGGAAGCTGCTCCTGGCAAAGGGAATTCCCTCTGGCACAGGAGGGGATGAGGGCACTGGGAGCAATAAGGGGCCTTTGGGCATCTTTTCCATGTGCCACACACCACAGAGGCCTTCAGTGAGGGAGAGAAAGCAAGGTGACTTCCACACACAGCCACTAGTGCATAAAGGTGACTTTGCAAAAATAAATACATGTTTGTCCAGCACTTTGTTGCCTCAGCTGCTGGCCTTCACTAGAGCGGAGTTAGCCTCCCGGTGAGGTTCTGCAGGGTTGCAAGCTACAAGTGTTGAAGGCAGGTGGCAGCGCCCCACGTGCAGGACCCGGGAGCCGTCCCCGGGAGCCGTCCCCGGGAGCCAGCCGTCCCCGGGAGCTGTCCCCGGGAGCCGCGCGGTGCCGGCGCCGCCGCACGTGTGTGCGAGCCCTGTGCGCAGCGGCTGGCGCGGGAAGAGCTCCCGGCGCCGACAGGAATGCGGCGGCTGCCGCCTGGCGGCACAGACCACACACACACGCTGCTTCACCTTCATTTATTTGTGTCTTTAATTGTGCATTGTTTTTGTCCCAGCCACATTTCCACAGCATCTCCAGGCAGCACCTTGTGCTGCGGCGGGTCCACGTCCCTCCCTTTCACGGCTCTGTCCTAGAGAGCCCAGCAGCAGCTTCCCCCCAAGCCGGGCACCTCCTGAGGGGCTGCAGGCCCAGCTCCCCACCCCACATCATTTCTAAAAGACAATACAGCTTGGTTCTAAGTGACACAGAGAGGATTATGCTGTCTGTGCTCAGGTATTTGTTTGTATCCCCAGCCCCACTATTTGTAAAGTACAGTAAAGGCTCAGAAGAAGTCGGAGCTCTGCAAGTTCCAGGGCATTATCAGTTTTACAGAGAACACATTCAACTTCGTCTGATTCACACGCACCAGAGCAGAAGTCCTTATCAATCCTATCTAGGGAAAAAAAAAAAACAACACACACAAAAAAAAAGCTAAAGGATCTACTAAAACTTCTGTACAGCATTAAGTGTCACAAAGAAGAAAATAAAAAAAAAGGGAAAATTGATTACTCAGGAGCATCAACAGATCTGAAAAAGACTTCTGCGCATGACTAACAAAAACCTCACATAAAACAAGCTTGCAAAGACGCAGAAGGTAGACTCTAAAAATGGAAGGATTTGTCAAATCAGAAGATAAAGCAGAAATAACAGAATCACGTCTACAAGGATACACTCAGTTGTTACAGGTCACACAACAGGTTATGCCAGCACACAAAGTAGAAAAAAAATTCTGGCCCCCGTGCTTTTAAGAGGTCAATTGCTTAACGTCGGGATGAAATGTATTACTAGGTACAGTATTTGGAATATAACTTGTACAGGAACAAAAGTTTGCAATTTTCAGAGGAAAACTTGGGAAGTTGGAAAACTTTCCAGTGCTCCTCTACAAAATGAAGAGACCATGAACAGCTCCTGCACACGCAAATGTCACTGTATGCAGGGCCTGAGGCAATGTCTTTGCCCTGCATCCCTACTCGCCACGATACAGAGCGCTCTGGTTCGTGTTCTTACAGAAGTAGTAGTAGTAGTAGTAATAATAACAATAATATTAATAATAAAAACAACGCTGGACTAAGGTGACTCCATTTTCAGGTTGCATCTCACCCCAGCCAAGGTCTCCTGTAAGGTATCACTTAATTCAATGCTACAAGGCTTGTCGGAGACACGGGAGCCACACGCTCTTCACATGAAGTTCATGAAGTTCCTCTACCAGTTGTTTACAGTTGCTGCAATAAGACACCAGACAATACATTTTTAAAAAAAACAACATATTTCAATTGTATTACATCCACGTTCCTTCAAGCTGTGAAGGTCTAGCTGCTTTGGCAGTATCAAAGCCAAAGTGTCATCTATGCCACTTGTAGAGCTTTACTCCGTGTTTCGTGCGGCACAAGCGGTGTTGAGTCTCCCCCTAGCGCTCAAAAGCCACAGTGTCCCTCCTCACACTTCTGCAATTCCTTTGCTTTAAGGGACCTTTTCTTGGCCTATTTTTTATTTTTATATAAACATCGGGGAAAAAAAAAATACTACCATGAATGCAGGATTCAAACCAAATGAAAGGAGAGATTAAAAGAACTCGCGCATTGCTTCACATCAATCCTCTACCAGTCATAGCTAATAAGGCTTACGATGCTTACAGAATTGCTGTTGGTTAGAGTACTGCATTGTTTATATAGGAGCACATGAAAGCCAGTTTTAATGAAAAAAAATCTTCCCCAGGTCAAGTCTTCCCATTAAAAAAAAAAGAAAAAAGTTATTGTCACTGAAGTCCTGCAGACGAGACTCAGTGCTCAGGCCTGCAGAGCACAGAACTGCTGAAACACAGCCAGGATGTGATGGTCCAGCTCAGCCGTGAACAGGAGGTTCTCCAGGGTCACCATGTACTGCTGGATGATCTGGTGGTGCTGGCAGGGAAAGAGGAAAGACAAGGAGATTTTTGGTGATTTCATTCATTCATTCATTCATTCATTCATTCATTCATTCATTCACATACGACACAAGCCCTGAAGTCAGGAAAATTAAGAACCGCACTACAAATGTTCTCACAGGAACCAACAAGGACATGCTACTTCCACAGACAAGAACAGCATGATCCAAGCTCACCACCAACTGCATGAGGGGAAGTGTGTGTTGAAACCCTGTTTTCAGGAATCCTGGAAAAATTCTGTTTTCTACACAGAAAGAGGGGTGACGCTTTGGGACAGGCTGCCCAGGGAGGTGGTGGGCTCACCATCCCTGGCAGTGCTCAAGGAATGTGCAGATGAGGAGCTTGGGGACAGGGATTAGCGGGATGGTGGGGATGGTTCTCCAGGCCGGAAAGCTTTTCTGTGCAACACAGCCTTCTAAACATGGAAGTGGAACTCACCTGTAGGAAGATCTGCTGCAGCCTCTCTATGCAGCTCTTGTACCAAGGGGTGAATACATCAATTCCTCCAGTTTCACAGCGCACTAAGTGCTCAGTTAACAACATAATGAAGCGCTGAAGAAGAACAGGAAAAACATCGATTCACCCTTGTCAACCAAAAACATGTTTCCTACCTCAGACAAGACATAACACCGGGGAAAGCGGCTGTGAACAGCAGTGTCAGGGTAACCGCTGCACTTGCAGGACACCGAATGCAGTAACCACCCACAATCAGGCTCCTCGTGCCTGTTTGACAGCAGAAGCCTCCTCTGCACTTCAACCTGAACAGAGCCTGCATGGGCCTTCCAGGCGGATATCTGAACCGGGGATATGTTTCCCATGATAAAGCTCTTTGCCCTCCTCACGTTCCCAGAGGAGATTCCCGACGTGCAGACGATGCTGTAAGCTTAACCCCATGAGACACAGGACACCCAAGCCCTCCCGCCTCCTTACCTGGAATATGACAAGGAAGAGGTTCTTCTGCTCGCTCTGCGCGGCCTCCACCTTCTCCTGCAAGCGCTCGATCTGCTCCTCGAGCGGCCCGTCCTCGCGGTCGCTGCTGCGGTCGTCGTCGTCATCGTCGTCGTCGCTGTCTCGCTGCGGGAGGAGCGGCCGTGACGCCAACGGGCGAGCGGGAAGCACAAGCAAAAAGGCACCCCATGTGTGAAAGGCCACTGAGTTTTGTGCCCTGCTGCAGGGCGGGCAATGGGCACCTCTGGAAAGGCACAGCTCAGTGTGGGTAGATCCCGTGCTAGGGCTCAGCAGGACGTGGTGGGTTAGCACACAAGGGGCAGGACGTGGTAGCGCAGGGCGTCGGAGCAAGGGCCACCCACACTCAAGCACTAAGGGATGCTCTCAGACTAGACCGGAATAGGCTGGCGGACAGTTCAATAGCGAGGAAAGTATTCTGTTGTCTTTGCCTTAAATTTATGAACAAACAGCGCCAGACCTGCAATCTCATGAAGCTATCCAAAATTCAAGAGTAATGGGATACAGTGGGAAAGGCACATTCAACTTCAGATACTGCTTGAGTCTCTTTAGGTTATTTCTATGCAAAAATACTACAAAATGACAGCTCGAAGGTTCAGATATTTGTAAAATGAGTGTGCAGCTATAAAATGTACAGGGGTATGTGTTAATTTTCCACTGCAAGGAAACCAAGCTGGCACTTCAGGGATTCTGTGCAGCTCTGAACTACTGCAGAGGTGCCAAGGAAGCACTTTGCCTCACAGAAACACCCGTGGCTGCATCCAGGTCTCCAATGATCACAGGCATCTTCCGACTGCGGATCAATGCAGACTGAGGATGCCAGGAATGAAGGAAAGCACGATGGAGCTGGAATGAGCAGACACTGGCAAATGGAAAAGCCTTAGAGATCTCCCAGGATCCTCACAGGAAGCAATGACTTGTGCAGGTGCTTCCAGAAAACAATAGCTTGTGCGCCACACTGTGCCAAATTAAGACATTACCTTGGGCAACAATTTTGTGCAATAGTCTTTCTTTAATGTATAAATATGTATTTATATTTACACATGCACAAAGGCATTCTGTCCTCTCTGTAACCCACAGCATATTTATAAATTGGCCTCATTCTGTCAGGGTTAAGTGTTACGATCAGCAATAGCCCCATGGAGCCCACAGCTGCCCCACACTGTGTTTTACTGTCCCACTTGGGAGAACTCAGTCACAGTGCTATATATAATAATCCAGACCACGCGAAGGGATTAAAAATAGAATAAAGGAAGGAAAAAAGATGCTTGTGTCAGAATGCAACAGCCTAAGGACAGTCACAGCTACCTTTATGACAAATCACTGTTTCTGTGTACTTTTCCACACAACCTAAGCCATCACTCTTTAAAAGAGAGCACCTACAGTGAATTCCTAAACGAGCTGTAATGCTTCCTAATAAGGTAACTAGAACTGACATTGGAATAGGAGTTTGTGAGGCAAAGCTTGAACCCAGCAAGAACATCTCAGTGCCTTTAAAGACCTGACTGAGTTCTTTGCCTTCAGCAGCCTTTACAAAGGTGTATGGAGAACACACATCCAGTTTTCATGTTCCTGATGTGCTTCCTGATAAGCATACTGATTTTGTTCCTCCCCAGAACCATTTCTGACAGCATGCAGATTTATACAGCTTAGCCTAAAATATTAAAAGTTACAGTCAAATTGCTCACTCTTTTGTGCTGCCGTGCCAGTCTTGCCTTGGTCTCCTCCAGCTCTTTGTGAATCTTCAGAACATGCTTGTTCATTTTACGAATTGTGGAATGTAGTATTTCCCAAATATAAAACCTAGGAGAAACACAAGACTTGCAGGAGTAAATAACACACTGTTCCAAGACACCAAGCACTCTACCATTTAACATCTTTAAATTCTTATTTAAATGACCATAAGCAGCATGTTTTTTTACCGCAATATGTTAAAAAATGTGCTTTCTTGCAGAAAAGTGTAACTAGGGGAATTTACAAAACACTCAACATGTACAAAAGCATTCCAGTAATGCAAGAAAGACCAAGGGCCATTTCTTTCCTATTTCTGCACTAAATTTCCAATCCAACCATTCAGTGCACACACATACTGCAACACTGCAGGCACCGAACTGGCTTTTCTGATTGCCCTTGTCCACTTCAGATTGTGCTGTATTGAGGGCGATGCACGGTACGTACCCTAACGACAGGTCAAGACTTTCCTAAGGGAGCAGTCACACAACAGGGACTACAGTCCTTGTCTAGGACTGCATCCAGTGCCATTCCACCTCAGCATGCTCAGGGGCTACCTGGAAAATGCCATGCTCAGGAGTCACTGCATTCCCTTGTGATTTCATAAACCCATTTGGATCGCAAAACACCGAAGTACTATTTTGCAGAAGAAACAAAAGGTTAACTGTACCCTTCTCTTCTCCTGCTTAGCTTTCATAGAAGAAACCACATACTGGCCACTTTAAATTTATAGACAAAAAGAAAGTTCACATACACATTACCTAGTAAAATCATGTGCAAGTTCTGAAGAAAAGATCCAGTTTGCTACTGCAGCACAATCAACGATTTGTGTTCGAATCATCTTGTCCACGAGCACAGCAATCATCTACATTTTGGGAAAGAAAAGATATTTCCATCAAAATAAAAATGTAACATACAGTCTGTGTAAATGCTCTAGTCTCAGATGCAAGCAAAGATCTTCCACTGCAATTCTGCATGGGCATCTGAATGAGCAGAGCAGACTTCTAGTTTGTTTAGCTTCAACCTGCTCAGATTAAGAGAGCTCTATTAATTTTACAAAGCACACCTTCACACTTTGTTGAACAGCTTCATTCATCGTGAGTGATGGATCCCTCTTCAGTAGCGCATATACTTCCACCACTCTCAAAGATAAAGGCTTTGAAGTTTGCAGTGAGGCGTCACTGAAGTCAGCCCCAGACATCAGGGAAGCCGACCAGGGCATATTCACAAGAGAAGACCTACCCCTCTAACACTGCAACAGCCTTCAAGCGTGACAAGCAGCTCCTCCTGCAGGACCTCTTCATTTTGGGACAACCTTCACTGTACAGTCAGTGGAGGTACTCACTCACAATGGCCTTGCCAGGGCTCTGGGGGGGTTCTGAGTACCAAGCAGGCAAATACAGAGATCAAATACTGACTAAAGCAGTTCCCAACTATTCAGAACAAAGGATTTATCTTAGTTACTCGTGTACCTGATTGTCACAATATCAAACAACTACAAATGTTATATATTTATACTGACAACCACCCATTCTCCAATGAGGATGGATAACAAAGCTCCTTTTGGAGGAGAAAACTGAAGTCACTGAACGAATCACATAGCAGACTCAGGACTCATCTTTCAAGCCATGATAGCATCTATACCCTATTTGTCTTTCCGATTACTCAGTCTGATCTTCCACACAATGCAGGCCTACAATTTGGGAAAACAACCTACTTCGGTGTAAAGATTTCTCTTTACGAAATCTCCACCATAACCTCACTAAACAGGGACTCTTATTGCTAAATCATTCCCCACAACAGACATCATTCGGCAATAGAGTCTTGCAAAAATAATGCTGATACTCTCTGCCAGCTTAGAAGACACATTTCCATCCACAGATACCGTGGATCATAGGCCCCCAAGAATGGGTAACCATATGGAAACTGATTCCAGGCAGGTGTCTTGCTGTCCATGCACCACCTCTTCTGTGCATCACGGATTGTGATCAGGAGGAAAATAGAGGGCTTGATCAGAAGCCCAAGGCTGCCCTGGGATGCACTCGTGAATGTAAAATCTGAGTTCCACTAATTAAGCAACAGACCTTCCTTAATTTACCATGTGACATTTTTAATACAATTTTGGTATGTTCATTAAGTCTAATATGACTGTTCAGTCTGCATTTGAAACTCCATCTCATTTTGGTCATGCTGTGATACAGAGGAACAAAGAGGAAGAGTTTATGGATATTAGGTTCAAGTAATGTATTTTTTCCTAATCCAGTTAAGTGACAAAACTAGAAGTAGGTCAGACTGTAACCATCACATTTTGAAGGTCAATATTTGGGAAGTTTTATATATTAAGAAAACAAAACACTTCTTGTTCTTTTAATTCTGCTTTATAAACATCCGTAGAAGATTTTATTTCTATTTTAGTCACCCAGAAAATCTGTTCCGGCTTTAGGCTACTAAGTCCGTTTACTAAAACTATAAAATGGGGCCCCTAGGCCCAGAAGCAACGACTGCACAGTGTTTTCAGGGGGACCACATCTGGAAGTGTGGCTTATGCAGCTTTGAGGTCTGGCTCACTGTCAAACACAAACACCCTCACAAAAGATACTAGCAGTAATTACTGTAAGTAAATCTAGTGCAAGTCTCTTATTCACTTCCATTAATGGGAAAACGGCAGCTGGTGGAAGCAACAACCACTGTGAAGAAACAGGACAGCTTAACAAGGAAGGCAACTTTCACAGTCTTTCAGGGCTTTATCTCCTCTGGCTCAAGAGTGAATTTAATCACTGTATTACCAGACTCATCTGTTGTGAACAATAAGTGGCTGCAGGTCTAGCCATGCTGCCCAAGCAGCAGAATTCCAGCATGTTTTAATGAATGGCTTTCACCAATCAAAAAGAATATGCTCCCCTCAAAAAGAAAACAAAAAGTCAACTTTCCTCTTCTGTAAGAGTGCAACTGGCTTTTGTATTACATTTACATCTCAGAATATACAAAAGACTGCTCTAGTATTCCAGTTTTGAACAGAAACAGATTTTGAGCAGAATTTCCTCTTGTAAACTAAACACAGCACAAAGTCAAGAGTCAAAATGACAACCGCTGTGCTTCTACACTGAATTTTGAGGGGGAAATAAAAGAGGCTGTACTGATGAAGAATATATATTATGCCCAGTCTTCACTTTATGCACTGCAATGCTAAAGTAAATATAACCTGACCTGTCCTTCAAATAAGAGCAGTGTATAGGGAACATATTTTTAAAGTAGAAAAAACAACTTTTCTTTTTAACTTTTAAACTCTGTATGATCTTTGGGGATTTGAAACCCGGAGAGGTATGTAGTGTTTTCCCCTCTTACCTGTGGATGATTTTTCCAAACCTCATATACAACTCTCAGGACATGGAGTTTCCCCTCATCGCTTTCAGCAAGTGTTTTGAAGACTTCATGAAACCTTTTAAGAGATTAAAGTAGTCAATGAAGGGGGTTGTGATCAGGTCAAAAAAAAAAAAATATCAGTAGATGCAAAGCAAACGGTTTCTAATGGCTAAAAGAAATCTTGGGCCTACCTGCAGCAGTTCTTGGACAACTGTCTGTTAAGACCATAGCTGACCTGAGTTAAAAGTGCTACAACAGATATGACAGCTCCCAGAAGCAACTTAAATCTTAATGGCAAATTTGCTTCCTGAAGCCAAGCTATCTTTCCTCTTACTTTGAAAAGCAGGAGACCGTGTCATGCTTGGAGAGTTTATCTATACACAGCAGGAGCAGCATTTATTTTCCTTTGAACCTTAGACTTTGCTCTCGATGTGGATTTCTGTAGCTTTAGAGAGTTACCCAATGTACCCTTACTGAGGGAAAGGCTGATGAAACTTCTATTTTAGCAAAATATGCTGACTGCTATTAGCCATTCACACCCCAGCTTGGTGTAATGTAACTACAGAGCTAAGGCGGCTCTTTCCCATCTTGTGGCTGCCACTGTCAGTGCACAGCAGGGACAGTATCGCAGCTCCCTGCCTCTTGTACTATCAATTACTTGTTACAAACACTGCCCCTATTGGAATTTCAGGTACAAAATTAGATTCCTGTAATGGCTTTATATGTTTCTCTATGTGCACTTAAAAATAAGTCATTAACACGCCTGTGAGCACCCCCTATATACTGAGACAACTTAGGAGTATTTTCCAGGCATATACTGGCAAAATGAGATGAAATAACTTTTAAGATTTACTTCATTATTAGAAGTTAAAACACTTTTTAGAGAGATATACTCCAATGCATTTTAAAATAGATTTTATTTTGCTTTGATAGATAAAAAGTTTATAGCTTGCTACTTTAAAGATTCTACTATTTTTTTCTTCTTGAGTCCTATTGGCAGTATGAGATGGGAGCTTTCCTGCCATTCTGATGTCAGAAGATACATCTATCCCTTAAAATTACTCATTTGCTGAGTGTTTTAAAACTGATTCATTTGCCAAACTGTCCCACTTGCTTGGTTTAAAAATTGTCATTAAAAGGATGTAATACCTACTCCCAAATGTAATCTAGATATCGATAATTTTTTTCAGTACATCATATTCTCAAAGTTGTGCAGTATCATCTACAAAGAACCATAATATACTATATTCCTCAGAATACTTGCAAAGCTAAAGAGCACAGATGCACAAGCATGACTACAACTGGTCCATCTGTTCTTACCTGAAAGGTTTCTAAAACACACAGAAGCTGTGCCTGAATACACACAGCATGGCTTTGATGTATTCTGTTAACTTCATTCACCTATGCAGACTAGCATTTACGCTACTGTTACTTCAGTAAACAGTGTTGCTAGTTCCCTCAAAGCATACCACCATGTTGTATTGTGGGGCACCTAAAACAGTGTGAAGATTCTGGTTCAGTTCTTTCACCAAATATTTCTCTCTCAGAATTGAACAGTTCCATAAGGCCCCAAACAACACACGTACTGCACTTACTTGGCCAGGGCACTGAAGGAGTGGCTGAAAGACTTTGCAGCTAGATGAAGCAGAGTCTGAACAAAAACTTCTATCTTCAGAGGGTTGAAGGTAAATCCTTCATCTGCAAGTTTAGTTGAAACAGTAAGTACTTAAAATAGAGCTCATGAGATAAACTTTCGAAGAGAATTTACAGTTTTAACTCATTTCATAAGAGAGAAAGTTTCAGCAAACAAGATTTTGCATGCTGGGCAGGGAGTTGCTAAAGATTTTCTAAAAGCTGCAGATTTTGGTATTGCCATTTTGTCAAAGGGAAAATATGGGAAGAGAATTCCAGATCACTGAAGGAGGCAGCAAAAACGGTCACACTATACTCACATAACTTAACTGATGGAGAGAAGTAGGGAGTGGCAGCCAAGAAAGCTGGAAGCCGGATAGGTCATGAAGAAAGAAGAGTGTGAGGACAGGGGGAGGCGAAGCTGATTAGGATGCAGAGCTTGGGCTGAGGCAAATATGAGTGCTAGAGGTGAATGGTGCCAAGTCCCCTGGACACTGCTGTAGGCCTACTGGTGACGACAGGCAGGAATGAAACAATCAAAAAGATGTTACTGGTTCCCAAGGCAAAAAAAATGGGCCATTGTTCTTCTGCCTGAATAACAATACTTGCAAATAAAACCCAGCTATGCAAATTGTTTTAAAAGATCACTTCTCAAGCTCCTGCTGGCCCATGGGCAGACACAGGCTTTAGGAATTAAGCTTTGCCCATAGCTGCAAAGCTAAAAAGAACTTGAGTGGAGTCCCTTGTGAGTCTCCATCTACAGGAGACTGAAGCCAGCATGTTGGCATCTCATTTGCCATGGGACTGCATCAAAAAGAGGAGAGCTCTGACGTGAGCTCAAGAGCACTGGCACTTGATCTCAGGGTCAAGGCTGACAGCATGAATGGGGCTCTAGGCAAGGAGAATGTTAAATTCCTTTGTGCTCTGTTGATCTTTGCTGCATCCCGAGTGCTAAATCTCACCTCCACTAAGGAGCATGGGCCTGCTTCTGCATATTACATGTATAAAACAAGCCGTGACATTGTTCCCTTCCATTTACTGCTAAACTGAAACTGCTAAAGGAGAAAGCACGCAGCAGTTAAACTACTACACCCGCAGCAATAAAGGATGACTAGTCAGATGCTGAAGGAGTAACAGTCTTGCAGTGCTAAGCAGCTGAACTCTTACCATCATCATCATCTTGGTTTGGATTAGGCACATCTTTTAAAATGCTGAAGATTTCATCATTGCTGGCCTTATTTTTAATTGCAATTGTCAAACAGAGGGCTACAGTGTATCCAGGGAGAGATCCTAGACAAAAGCAATTTGGACAAAAATGTAAAATGCCAGTGAGAATTTTTATATCATTTTATTTCTCTGATAGCAAATATATCTTCCAGCTATGGCCAAAAGCTAACTGCTCTCAGTATCACAGCCCACATCACTATTCCATAATACTGCCCAATAGGTTTCCTAGTTTTCACAAATTTAAAGCCTTTGGCAGTGTCTTTTGGAAGAACTGAAGAAAACAAAACAAACACACACACACCACTTGTCTGAAGTTCTGCTCCAGTTTCATCCAATTTCCTAAAAATACAGTACTTACTTATATTTCTCACTGCCTTTAATGATGACAGTTTTATGATTAAGACCATCTTTGTTCTCAATAAAAAAGTCTCTTTCTACCTCAACTTTCACGTTTCATTGGCGGTATGCTTCATTAAACCAAGTTTACTGGTAAAACCATTTGCTGTTTTATGAAGTTCAATAAACAAGACCACCCTGCGTTTCATTATGCCGACTGAATGCAGTACTCTGCCAGAACAATGAAAATGGATGATATTTCCAATTTTAGAACTGACAAGCACTGAAATGCTGAAGAGCCACTACCCAGCCACCTCAGTAAGTCTGACCTCACGTAGGTAGGTTTTCATTTCATTTTTTTAAAAAAAGCAAGATTATATAGTAGGAAGATCCAAACTTCAGCTTTATTACTTCTGAAATGGAACATATTTACCCACATAAATATCAAGCATATTTATTTCATTTCTGCTTTTCATGATGACAAATGGCATTACACTCAGTTTGTGTGTTCCATGTCTCTAAAACACATTTTTCTTCAACTTGACCTCTCAGTAACTTTAATACTTACTATTGCTTTCATCTCCGTATTTGTAAATGCACACGGGATTTGCAGGACTGAGGACAGAAAAGCTTGCAGGAACAATGTCTATAATACGCTGATGGTAGGACAGCCTGGAAAAAGGAAGTTTCACAGTAGTAAAAATGGGAATAACTTTAGAGCTAACTCAAATCATTGCTTGTATTTCATTTTCACAGAACAAATATCAAGATTTTTCTTCACTGCAATGATAGTTTCTGTGGGTAGTAGGAGCTAACTAAATTTACTAAACATAGCTTAAATTTGAAATCACTGATGTTTCATCCTCAGTGTAATGAAGTTAACTCCCCAAAAAGATTAAGAGGCCAGTTGGTAGTACATTCTGTGCAAAAGACTAAGATGCTACATAGGCAACCAGTGGGCCGTATTAAAAGCAGAAAAATGCTTTCATTTTCCAGCTTGTTTTACTCTTAATTTCAATATTAGAATTTTCACTGAAATAAGAGGAATGCTACAGGTAAAATGCCTTCATTTTGTGGTATAATGTTTTCATGCTTCCAGTATCAAATTTGCTGAAAAAAACAGGTGGCTTTTCATGCAGAATGCTGAATTACACAGGCTTTTTTTGAACACTTTTTTTTCTTCTCCTGTATTGCTCCATCAAGAATCCCAAATTCAGTCCTGGCCACATGCTCTTGTATTTATTTTTTTCTTTAAAGTCAACAAAAATTAAGGCCATCAAGAAAAATATGACAGTCTCTGGAAGCAACGATCAAGCTTTGCTAATTGTACGTGGGAAAGCAGCATATCAGAAGTCTTACTTACCGCATGCATTTTTCTAACACCTCTCTCACAAATTTGGGTTTAGGCTTTTCAAGGTCCTGAGTAAGACAGTCTGACCTATCAAAGGAGAAAACACAACACCTTTTAGCAAATGGACACGTTCTCTTTTTGAGAACAGGAGACTCCCTTGGTCTTGGACTGGCAGGAACAACATGTTCAATGTCTACACATAATTAGACTACTTAAGACTGTTTTACAGTGTAGGCATTTTTAAGATAATGAGGCAGTTTACCACTATTTCCTTACTGGCCATTAGCACTCTTGAAAACACATCTTTATGCAATGTATTTCTGAGTAGCTCTCCTTCCCATCAAAATTAAAAAGCACCATGCTTGTGCTATTGTGGTTAGTCTGTTCTCCCTTTCTTCGGGAAAACAAATTTTGTGCAATTCCACAGTTTATTCCTCCCTCACACTAGTTTTTGAGCTTCTACATGATTTGAAAAGCACTTCAGATAAAGAAAAGTCTCAAATACAGTTACATTTACAAGCTTTGTAAAAAATGTCAGCTTGGAAGACAGACTACAAAGGATTCCCACCAAAGGGTGTCCAGGGAAAGGAAAAAACAGCCGACTACAGATTGCTATCTGGTTGGCCAACATGAATGCATGTCAGGATAACAGGAAAGCACGTAGGACTAGAAATGAAAAACGCAAGGAACGTGAGCAAAAGCTGCGGTGATGCATCACCAACAGTGCTGACTCCTGTCTACAAGGAGAAGTGGGGCAGCAGACTGAAGGAGCTGTGACTATAGAAGGACATAATCCCAGGTGACCTTCCTTTCCATGTGGAGACATACATACAGGATGGATATAAGCATTCAGCATCATCCCTGGAATGCAAAACTTTGGGAAAGCTCTGGTTATACACCAAGGGAGTCCAAGAATCTGGAGATACGAGTTCAGTATTTGGCATAAGAATTGATGGCAAGGCCAGGTTTGCTGGGACTAAGGATGCAGGGATTTTGCAGGTGGCAGTAAGGAAGCAGCAGCAGTTCATAAGGTCACAAGGATAACTTACAATGAAAGTTTTGGGTTGGAACACAGAGCAACATTACACAATGAATATAGGAACCAAAGGAAGAATCAAGGCAATTCATTAAAGCTAAGTTGGGGAGTTGCCTGGGAAATTTTTAACAGAAGAAAACAGGATGAATCAACAAGAAATCAGTTTCTACTTTCTCTTTTTAGGGAACTTTTGTACTAGACTGAGACTTATCACAAAGTTACCTAGTGATATAACAGTGACTAAAAAGACACGAAGATAATTTGCCACAGAATGGTGATAAACAGATTATGAGAGAGATCTCCATAGAATTAGGGGAAAGCAATCAACAGGTTTGCTCTGCTGTGATATTTAATGAACAAATTTGTCAGTTTAAAACTTTTACAGTAACTATTCTAAATGAGAAGGAGACTTACCAGTCTTCCCAGCTCCAGCGAAACTGAAAGTTACTCAAGTGGTGAGAAAACCAGTTAATAAACCTTTATCAAAAGAAAAAAACTCCATTAAAAACCAGAAGTGCAGGAAAACTTTACAATTAAGTTTTCTTATAAATGGTTTCTACTTGTCAAAGTCTAATTTCTTCACTCTGAAACCATCACAGCAATAAAGAGCCATCTGTACTGATGGATACAGAGGCTGAAACTAGCCTCTGTAGACACAAAGTATCTCCTCCTGTCTTAAAATATAAACCTACTATGAATATAAAATGGATATGAATATGAAAAACTATATGAATATAAAATAAAATATAGATCTAATATCAGGCTTTCCATGTTTTTGCCTGTTAACTGCTAGTTCTCCTACATAATGTACATTTCACTCAAATGGCTCCCCAAAAAAGAAGTCACCATCTCTCTCCTCCTCTAGGTGGCACATGTTGTGTAAGTCCATTTCCAAACTGCTTCCAAGATAGTTAGAAAGCAGAGTAGGAAAAAAGAGAAGAGGGTTTCAGTGTCAGAAAGTTTTCATAGATCTTAACTGTGGTGTTTAATGGTCAGGCTTTTAACCCTCAGGAGGTTTTGCTGAGAAGGACAAACAAGTATGAAAGCCTCTTTAGAAGACTCAAGCCCAAAGCTCCAAAGAGATCTTGTAGAGAACCACAGCGAGGATTTCGGATGAGTCCTTTCAGAGATGAACCAATACACAGCAAAAGTTAAGAACATTCTTTCTTACTTTCAAAATATGTACTTACCTGTCAACACATGTAGTATTCATTGTATCCAAACGCATGTAGAGCATTTCTGTGGCTTGTGCAAGCTGAAAGTTTTTTTGTATTAAGGTTAACACAACGTTATAAGGCAGATGTCACTCCTTTCAAATGTGAAGGGAGAATTTGACCACTGTTTCTTTCTAATGACAGCCTAAAATCAGATAAATTACATCAAACCTATAGGCAAGGTGTGGAGGAAGAGGACAGAGAGGACCAGGCAATAAGCATCATCCATCTCCTAATCCAAACCCCTTTTATTTGTACAATAAGAGTGTTTTTGTTGCCTGAATGGGATGCAGGAAACCCCATCACCTGTTAATGAAAGCCGAACTAACACGAACAGGTATCAGTCTCCTTAACAGAGGACACCTCTGCAGTCAAACCCTTCTAGCTTCACCAAGCTGCTCTTGATACTTCTAACAAATTCACTTAACGCTTGGAAATGTAAATCTATACCAGCCTTATGCAAAGCACCAGTCAACCTCTGGTCCCTTGTCATGATTTCCCTGTTAATACTTAGCACTAACTGCTCAGAGGCTAGACCAAGATCTGCTTGCTGAGATTAAGTGACTTACAAGCACTGGGTGATACTCTGAAGCAGAGCAAAGATTTGGGAACTAAATTAACAGTGAAGAGCAGCTGTTAACAACTCTCCATTGTCAGAGTCTCCAGACTGATCTGAAGTGATTATCTGAAGTGCAACAAAATAGTGACAATGTAATACTCAGAATCAGCAGGGAGTTATTCTTCCTGCTTCAGCATTTTTGGGTGTGAACTCAGGCAAGTTACTTTAAATCACCTACTACATTTCACACTGTAAAAGAGCAGGTACCTGCACTCAGTAATGATCACAGAAGATCCCTCAAGTCGACCACATCCTTCTGAAGTTTTAAGCTCTGCAGTCATGCCATGCATTGTCCAGATCTAGACAGGGAACATGGATAGGCAGCAGAGCTGGTATTTTATCTATGGGCTAAAATGGGACTTACTAAAATGGGAAAAATGAGAATAAATATCAGTTCTACTTCCAGGAGGCTGAGGAAGACTTGACTTGTGGTTAGTGGGCTATGCTCCCTTCACATGAGCATTACAGCAGATGAGCTAAACTTCACTTGTAAAATATGTTATTGACAGTATTTACTGCTACTCCGTATTTCAAGGAACAAAACAAAAATAATACCAAATACTCCACTTTTAAGACACTCTTCAATGGAAGAAAAGGATACAACTTGTGGTAAGGAGCCAGGCTGAAGTTTGCATAATTCTATGAGGAGTGTTGTGTACATGACCTCAATATGTGGTGGAGATGGAAGTTGAAACAATTCTGCAAATATAACCTGTAAGACAGGAAGGCAGCATATCAGAAAACTATCAGACTTGGCCTGTACAACCCTGAGAGTCAGAGAAATAAAAGGGGAAATCAAACTTAAGCAACTACATACCAGAAAAGGCTCATTTTATCCAGTCAAATACATGCTCTGGGAATAACACAGAAACTTTCAGAGACAGTGCCAATAGTGCACAGTACAAGCCAACTTAACTGCTCTCATATTTTAATATTAACATATCAACTCTATACACAGCACCAGAATTACACACCTCTAATCGCCCAGTGGTGCTCTCTGGCCATTCTGTGTTCACAGTCATCAATGACACCTACATACATGCCTATCTTACTGTAAGAGAGGGGACAAATATTGGAGTGCTGTACATAAACTTGGACATTATGGAGCATTCTGTGCTTGGCCTGACAAACACAGAGATGTAGCACTGGGGAATCTCAGAAACAAATATATTTGGGAAGATTTATAATTACTTCTGCCTTACTGTTACATTCCTAAATTTAAATAAGGCATTCCTTTGTTTATCATACTAAATTAATTCTATTGTTCTTTTCAGCCAAGCAAGAAATACTTCACAGATGAAGGTAAACAGCTGCTGAAAGCAACATGACTTGATTGCCAAACCTTAGAAGTGGACAGTATTTAACAGACTGAATTAAATCTGCAAAATCCATACTAACCTTTAAAACCACTGTATTTTTTTTAATAAAACAGTCAAGAGCAAGTAATATACTTAATATTCTAAAATAATTCTAAATACTTAAAGAGAAAAAAGGAAGCTAACAATTTTAGTCAAATAAAAATCACTGGAAGAAATGTTTGCTGTACAAATTATCTATGGAAACCCTTGTTATTTGTGAATTTCTGCATAACTAGAAAATGTAAGGCCTAAAAATAACATATTTAAACATGAATCATATTTGTTGAGGTTAATGTACAATGAAGCATAAAGTACACAGCCACGCAGTCATTCACACATCTGAGGACTTACAGCCAGAAATGCTTTGAGGTGAAAGGTATGTTCTAAGATTTCCCTTCTGAATTCACAGCACAAGAGAAGGGACAAAACAATCAAAAAAATGCTTTACGGCATTCAGCCTCTTTGTTATTTTGGTAAAACAAAAATTTTTCAACTCCATCTTTATCAAAGTAAGCATTCTACCTGAGATAGCTGTAATAACCCCTGAAACTCCCACTTGGTCACTTATCTGTAAAGTGTTATATGACAAGTTGACATTACTACATGTCTTTAAAAATCTTTAAAAAACATACAATTTGTGATGGATGAATGAAGTTTCACTTTCTGTATCCAGAAACACAGAACTGTGTAAGAAAAAACTACATTCCTCTTCTCCTCATTTAATACTAATAATACTAAATTCAATTTAACATTATGCTTATTTAAAATACTGCAGTATGGACTTTTCCCGAGGAGGGAGCACTGCTACTCTACTGGAAGTGCTTTTCAATGCCATTACAACATGACAACTCTAAGTGATTTAAAATATTAACACACAGGAGAATCAGAGCAGATGAGGTAGCAAAGAACTTCTGGAGACTGCATAGTCCAACCTTTTGCACTGAAAGTAGTGTCAAAAAAGTAGGTTGCCCAAGGCCATATCCAGTCAGGATTTGAGTATGTCAAAGAATGGAGACTCCACAAACTTTCTCATCACTCTAAGTAATGATTTTTTTTTTCCTGATACTTAAATGGAATATTCTGCATTTTCACATGTGTCTATTTCCCAACATCCCTTCCCTTACTAGTTATCTGCTTATTCAAAAAAAAAAAAAAAAAAAAAAAGCAGCTGTCTCAGATTGCCTTGTACATTAGGAAAAGCAGCATATTTAAAATTGCAAGAAAAGCTTGATATAACACCATAACCTTCCATATTAATACATTAAGGGATTTTACTTAATCGACCAAAGATTCTAGGTGCAACACTGTTTTGTTGTTTTTTTTTTTTTTTTTTTCAGGGAGATAGTGTGTGAGTGAGGTGGGAATTTAACCCAAAAGGCAGCAAACACTCAACAGTATGGAATCTGCTCATTTATTGCCTCTTCTTTAACGGAAAAGCAAAAGTCTCCCAAGTGAAAGAAAACTTAATGGCTTTATCATGCTGTTAATTTAGATGTGCTATTTAGAAAATAAAGGAGCTACAAAAGATATTACCTATAAAACACATACCTCTACTATATGGTAATTCAAAGGAATCTTGTTATTTCCTGGATAGCTTAACAGCTGTGCAGCACTGCAAAATAAAATGCATTCATTTTAAAAATATCCTTAATAAAGTATAATATCAGGCAGAGTTACAGGAAATGCTTAACTCCATGCACAAGTTTACCTTATACAGTACACAAATCAACTGCTCTTCCAAAAACTGCACGTTGCTTCACAGAAGCTTACAAAAGAAACAACACTAGATCATAGCAATATTGTCTAAACCATGGATTGGAAGGTCATATTTTATCTTTATTTAATGCAGCCCTTAAAAGACACAATGAGAAGTAAAATGCATTTTTTAATATTGATCTGTATGTTGGCGTATGTTGACTAATATCTGAAAAAAAGTTTGGTATATGGAGAGAAAAAAACAGATTTATCTTCAAGTCAGATTGGCTTTCAAGTCATTCTCAACTATTAATGGACTACATCAGAAATCTTCAAGCTACAACTGCTTCAACTATTAACCAGCTCTTTATCATCTATCATTATTATATAGGAAATAATCACTTTTCTGATTTTAGTTCTGGCTCTGTGGTATGTCTTAAATCTTCCTCTAGTCTTATTTTCCTCAGAGAATTAAAAAGAAACAGAAGAAAAAAAGCCCATACATTTCAGTGACTTCCACGGCCCTGAATTTCTAACTTCTGCTGAATCAAAATGGTGCACCCAAAAACCTGCACCACATTACCATCAAAACATTCTTCTGACCATTTTTTGCATAGTGTACCAAGTCTGGTAGCTCTTACTTGGAAGCACAAAGTAGGTTGCAGATATCAGCAGCAAATCACCCAGGTTACGAGTTACCTACATCAGATATTACTCAGGCAGAAACAAAGAACTGCAGCTAGACTACTTCCTAGCACTGCTAAATTCAAGCTAATAAAATTTATTTGGCCTGCAATAGCTCCCCAGAGCTAGCTCATTTCTGCAATGCAACCCTGAAAAGAATGCAAAAATAGAAAAAGCAAAAGCAGGTTTATGAACTCCAGTGCAGAGCCAGCTATAGACAGAATCAGTTCATGGCTGTCTGTGACCACAAACATCAACGGTTTGAAAATTCCAGGAAATATAATACAAACACAATATCTGCAGTGCTGCATGCAAACAGGCACGTGTGTCTGGATTTTTCTTTTTTTTTTTTTGGCCATATGTTCTTTATTATCCTGGAATTATCTTCCCAAGGAACCCCTGCTCCCCTGGATGCAGTAGAAACTGCAGTAGTGTAAGCGGTGCTAGAACCCATAGCGCTAAGGATTCCCTTACCAAGTCTTTCTCTCTTTCCAGTGGGATTTGATGATGCAGTGAAGGTTCTCCTCTATTACAAATCGTTCAACGGAGTGACTGCCAGGCATGACAGGGCCCTGGTAAAGTAATAAATAAAATAAATTTATGGAAGATTATGCCGGTAATAAGGTTAACATCCACCCTATGTGTATTTACAGGTGGAAGCTAGTCCGACTTCCACACAAACACACTGATCTCTCAGCTACCACATACTGCTTAGGACTGAGAGACCCGCTGCAGAGTTCCACAGACACATCACATCTGTGGATCTGTGTTCAAAACTAAAATTAACATTGGAATCAATACAAAAAAGCAAAGCAACAAAATAAGAACACAATTGTAAGTTCATGGAGTATCCACCTCTTATATCCTACACATGGTTTCCATATTCCTCCTATCTGCTCCCAAAGCAATATGACCAAAAGAAAAAAGTTTTGGTAAAATTTGTGGCCATTTCCTCCAGTCCTGTCACTGGCCACCACTGAAAAGAGGCTGCCCCCTCCTCCTCACTGCCTCCCTTGAGGTGTTTATACACGCTGATCAGGTCCCCCCTCAGCCTCCTCTTCTCCAGGCTGAACAGGCCCAGCTCTCAGCCTTTGCTCACAGGGCAGATGGTCCAGACCCCTGATCATCCTCGTAGCCCTGCGCTGGACTCTCTCCAGCAGCTCCACATCCCTCTTGTACTGGGGAGCCCAGAACTGGACACAGTCTCCAGATGTGGCCTCACCAGGGCTGAGTAGAGGGGGATGATCACTTCCCTCGACCTGCTGGAGACGCTCTTCTTAATGCACCCCAGGATCCCGTTGGCCTTCTTGGCCACCAGGGCACACTGCTGCCTCATGGTCAACTTGTTGTTGCCCTTGGTAAACACTGAAGCGCAGAAGGCATTCACTAACCCTGCTTTTTCTGTGTTTTTCACAAACAGGGCACCCATCTTGTTCACCAGTGGACCCATGTTTCCCCTAATCTTCCTTTTGCCATTGATATACTTGCAGAAGCTCTTCTTGTTATTTTTAACATCCCTTACCAGATTTAATTCTAAGTGTGTCTTAGCTTTCCTTGTTGCATCCTGCATTCCCTGACAACATTCCTGTATTTCTCCAAAGGGATCTTGGTCCTTTCTTCCACATTCTGTATACTGCCTTCTTCTGTTTGAGTTTTGCCAGAAGTTCTTTGCTCATCCACATAGGCATCCTGCCCCTCTGCCTGACTTTTACTCATAGAGATGCCCTGTTGCTGAGCGTGGAGGAAGTGCTGATTGAAAACTCACCAGCTCTCTTGGGTTCCCTTCTTTCTAGGACCCTAGCACATGGGATTCTTCCAAGCAGGTCTCTGAAGAGACCAAAGTTGGCGCTCCTGAAATCCAGGGTTGCAAGGCTTAATTACCCAGATCATCTAGTCACCTAAGACTGATGGATCTTGAAGTCACTATTCATTATGAGAGAAGGGACATCATATTTTGGCCAATATTGCCACGGCTGTAAAACCAGCTCCCTCCCACAACAATCACATACCTCAGGATCATCCGTGTAGTCAAACATCCTAAAAATAACCCTTGGCATTGGGTACACTGAATCCTCCGTGTGAGGTGGAGGAGTGAACGGAGGCAGGTTGTGTTGCAATGCTTCACAAAGAATGCTATCAAAAGCCAAGTAGGGCCTCAGAATGTGTCGCTCTTGCCAACGGTCTTTCTTCAACTTCTGGATCTGAGACCAAAGGCAGTCTAAATACTGAAAGGAAAAAAAAAGACAAGAAACATCAGATACACTCATCCTTGTAACAAGTCTTGAAATTCCTTCAATGATCAAAGATGTGTTTCTGTATATAAACTGTATATTACTCAGAGAAGAAAAAAAGAGGGGGTTTAAACTGCTTGTTATAGATCATCTACTGATTCTGTACAGCAAGAAATAATTTGAGAACTCTATAATCACCACAGTTGCTCCTAGTCCCACAGATCACAATGTTAGTAAAGTTTAACTGCAATCGAAGTTTTAAACACTGAAATGCAGCCCAGCAATCCAAGCAGACTGTTATCTTCTGAATCCATCAATAAGACCAGAGTGACTGCAGTGAACTTCAGTCAGTGTTGACTGGTGATATTAAGAGATGTATAATATCAATATTATAGCCAAAGAGATATTCCATAGGATTGGTATGCTATTCCCAAAGCAACCCAAGCTATCAACTACTGCATATTTGATAATACTGAATATTAAATACTTTTAGCCATGAGTTTCATGGTTTTCAACAAAATTGTTAGTTCCAGCATTTTCCTAGTGATGGCAGAGTTGCCTGTACAACTGGCAATAGGTTCTCTTGCTTAATTGCTTTCTATGCCCTTTTTAAAAATTATCCAAAAACTCAGTGGAGGGAGAGGGCACAAAGAAAGCCCCAATCTGTGGCCTTACAGAATGTGAGTTTAAAGTTATAATTGGTTCAAGAAACGCCTTTGCATTCAAGTGTTTTGCCTTTAATGAAGTTACTAGACATTACAAGATGTGGACAAAGCTACTTAACAAGCACATCTGAAGAGAACAGTCATACTCATGGCATTCCTGGTACCACAGTCTCTCTTCCCTAGTGAAATAAATGGGTAAATATGGTCAGGCAGAACATTCATGCTGAGAAGTCCAGTCATAACTAGACAGTCTTTTTCTCCAAATTGTGACAATTAGTTTAAATTTTCTCATATTTTCCAACTAAGTTCATCCTCAGAATAACTTCAGGGAGGAAAGAGAAGTATCAGGTACGGTTGTTTTAGGAAGGAATTTGCCCTTTTTAAAAATTACCTCTTCCTTCCACTACGCTTGCTGTAATTGTGGAATACCATTGCTCAATAAATCATGAGTAATTTTGTATGTATTTGTTTCAACGCTTTAGAACCGAAAAAAAGCCCAGCCACTATATAAAGAGGAAAAAAACCAAAACAACAACAACAAAAAAACACATTCATGCTTTTTTTCCTTGCAGAGGAAAAACATGGAGGGGTAAGAATTTACAACCTGCTTCCAAGAAAGGTCATTTTAACATGAAGCCCTGCTGCTGCACTTCCCGAAAAAATAAACCATTTTGTAACAATTCCTCATTTGTAACATTCCTTCAGAGGAGTTGTCAGGGAGGAGAAGAAAAAAAAAGAAATTCACCCCTTTCCTACCCACCCAATACAACCTCTAACTTAGGTCCAAGACTTAGAACAGATCTCCTTACCTACAATCCACCAGCAATAACAACAGACAGGATATAATGTACAAATATTAACATTTTAAAAAACACCTTCTATTTTAACCGTTCTGCAATAGGCCACTTTAGCAAGAAATAAAAACATAACAATAAAAAAAAAGAAAAATTTTTTTGGGGTAGAGTGCAAACTAAAACCCACTCACTTCCTCTTGTGGATGAGGTTTATCAGCAGTCCAAACTTGCAACATGGGCACATGAATTTTCTGGCGGCGTCTGTTTACACAGGAGAGAAAATCCAATATTCAAAAGGCTGACTAGGATAGCAATGTTTTCCTAATAAAGTTTTACTACTACTTCATCTTTTCAGTTGAATTCTATAACACCTGAACAACAGATTTGTAAACATTTAAAATATAACTATTGCCATCTCGATAGTAGTGTTAATTTTAAATACCTAGGCAGAAAGGAGGCATACTGCAATACACTCGGATAAATCAATCACTATGCAGAGCACAGTTACAACTGCAGGTCCTTCAGCATAAATAAGATTTGACGTACATCAATGCTATAGAGAGAATTAAACTTTTTAAAATTCCAACATCTCTACATCTTTTCCATATTAAAATAAATTTCATATTAAAATAAATTCATATTTAAAACTTTTAGTTCATTTGCAAAATGAGCAATAATCAGAGCAATAATCTATGCTTGTATAGCTGGCAATACATTTTTACATATTGTAACTTACTTTAGATAGCTTTCAGTTTGAGATAACAGGCGATCCATTTCAGCATCCTTTTTCTCATATAATTCTTTCCCAACCCAAGGTAAAGATGACAGAAACGCAAACATATACCAGTCACATCGCACCTATAGGAAAGAAATAATGAAATCTAAGTATACAAGGAAGCTCCAAAATATTTAAAATCCAAAATATTTTAAAAAATCTCATTTTAATTTGTTTGAATTGAATACTAGCAAAACCAGTATGTTAGGTGAGTCTTATAAAAACTGCTTCAGCCAAAGCAGCAATCAATTCTTGCAATTAAGGTACCTGCTGGTGAAAGCTCCTACACACACATAGGAAGATGGCTTTGGAAACACTGAAGTGCATTTCAGAAGACATATTCTGAGCACACGACACATGGAAATATAACCATAGGTCACCAAGTAAAACACTGCATAGATAAAACTAGTTAAAGATCTATTATTACAGCTCTTGGCTCAATTGATGTGTTTCACTCATTAATAATGGCAATAGAAAAGAAAAAAAATCAAAAATACTTGCAATTTCAGTCTCCCTTTTACTATAAGCCAGTAAAGTGTTGTGCTATCAGACTATTCCTCTCAAGAGAAAAGTCATTCATGGTAAGAATGAGGAATTTAACTTACTTATTTTTGCATCTCTATTTGACATTTATACAGAACAGTTTAACATTTTCACTCACAATAAATTTGACACATTCTTGTGAGAAACAGCAGTTTAAAGGCAGGCTGTTTCAAAACTGTCTTTCTCAAATGTTCAAGGCATTCAAAGCTATTGCCGCCAAGCTGCAGGGACAATTCTCTGTAAATGCTTCTGTGGTTGAACCCAGTTCTCATGCATCAACAGAATTATTTACTGATTGACTCCTCCTAGATAGGCCTATGACAGTCAGCGGAAGTTCATACAACTTACAATGGCATTAAAATGACTTCAGTCCTCTTAAAGAAGCCAAAACATGAAACTAAGTCAAATCATATATTTTATGGTATGCTTGCTGGATTGATTACAATGAAAAATATCGTCCTGCTTTAAAATCCTACATTTAACTTAAAATATATGCAACAATGTAGGCAAAAAAAAAAAACCCTTACGCACTTCCAAAAAATAGGCAAAATTAATTCACTTCAGCTACCTCTCTACAGAGGACCACACTTTCCTACAGTATGTACCATGTACACATTTTGTAACTGCCACAAGTTCCTTCTGCTCACACTAAGGAACCTGCACATGACAATTCCTTTTTATCAATTATATCTTAAGTTCTCCCTGTTCTAAGTATAAATAAAAAAACCACGACTCTGAAAACAGCAGCAGATGAAGTTACAAATCTTTTCCTTACTTGGGGTACATCTTCCTCCTGTGTCACACTCACGAAGTTCTCGAACATAGCTACCATCGAAGGTGCAGCTATTACATGACAATTCACAAGATCAGATAGAAAACGAACCTTAGAAAGAAAAAAAGGTTAACTTTTGAGTATTTGCATAACTGGCTGCACAAGAACAAATAAATATTGTTCCACCTGCTAAAACAAACCATCAGTAAAAATAGCATGCAATAATATGAAGTCAGAAACACTGCATATTGTACACATTGCTCCATCAGTCCTCGGAAACAAGTAACATAAGCACTAAAAACGCTGTTCTTTATAGCCACTCAAACTTGTTTCCATACAGCAATATNTATAGCCACTCAAACTTGTTTCCATACAGCAATAACAAAAGGAAAAGATATCAAAAAAAAAAAAAAAAAAAAAAAAAAAAAAAAAAAGGTGGTTGGAAACACCAGTGTGCATTTAACGACTTGTAAATTGGCTTCTACTACAGAAGAAAAGGTCAAACTCCTCCTCACTCTGGATGATTCCAGATCACTAAAATTACAAAATGAGGGAAATGGAGGAGAGGAAAAAATATATATATATATATATATATATATGCACATATAAGACACGGTGGGGCTTAGAAAGTTCTTGCTCTGTCCCTACCCCTTTTTTTGAGAGCTCGATTCCTACCGACCTCAACAGGGTAAAAAGCCAACATGGTGTGCGTATGTAAATAAGTCATTTTCTACTGGGCTTCCCCACAGAAACTTAAAGAACACACACCTTTGAACAATTAAATATGAACAGCATTCACTCATCCTTCATATCTGACTGTAATGCAAGTAAGGAAGGCGGGGGGGGAGCAGTAGCATCTCTTATTTACTGTGAGTTGATGTGTCACACACAGAATAGCTGTTGGAAGCCAGCTTAGCAACAATCATCTTCCTCCCCTTAGGATGGAAGTACATCTTGCATAACACAAATTCTCCTGACACATCTTAGGAGCGTTGCATGTCGACATCAGAAAAAAAATGCAGGACAGAAAAGTGTCCAGTTCTTCCAGGTGTTAAAAGGACAATAAGTCAGGTTAAAGGTGGGGGTAATGATGAGAAATAGGTGGGAAAGATGTGAGAAATGCCACTTACTAAAAACACAGCCTCATTATACATATTGACTTTCAGACATTCTTTAAGCTGACGAATCATGGCTTCTACAAATTCCCCACCAAAGTTGTAGTTTCTGGCGTTCAGCAACCCAACTAGTGTTGTGTAAACAGTCAGCTTTTCTGGTAACAGGCGTGCACTAGCACAGAAAAAGAAAGAAACATTGCATTAGATGTTTACCTAGCATGTGACAACTCACAAACACCTTAAAATTTCTTTGATTAAAGTTAAACTCACCACATACTGAAATAAAAACTGCTATCCTGATCTTTGATTTCTATCCAATTCACAATATTTCAAATACTTTTTTTCTTAGAACTGCAATTGTTTAAATAGGCAAGTGTTACTTGCAACCACAGTAGAAGCTGACAGTTGAAATATTTGCTTCCTAGTTATTTCTAATTGGTGGGTATTCAGGCATAAGTTGTGGTCTAACCAGTGTGGCAATCATGCTTAAAGACCCTTGCAGAGCTTTTGTCACTGTATCAACAAAGCTTACGTAACTTGGACAGCAGCTATTATTGAAAACAAAAGACAGGATAAGACCTCAGTCTAGATTGACTGTGAGCAGGGATTTCCTATTACAGTATTTAATGATCTGCCAAAGTGTGTGATGTTTACGGATAGATGTTTATAGATAGATTTGAAAATAAAGAGATCCATATTCTTAAAATGTCTATTTCATGTATGTACAAGTCCATTTAAGTATACATACACATGTAATAAGAATGCCAGAATTTAAGCTACATTTAGCAAGCCATTTTGTCATTTTAGAAGCCATTTTCCTGCAGAGTAGCAACAAGATTACATGACAGTGGTACAAAAGCTTAAATGCTTAAGCTTAACTTGAGTCCAAATCACTGATTTTATATGCAGTGTAGCAAAGGAATACAAAGGTAGGAGGTACTGTAAACAGTACCTAGACCTCTGCTCCCAAACTTCTCTAGAGAAGTTCTCTTATCCATGGGAGAGCCTCTATCCAGCCTTTCCACTTTCTTCCTTGCTACAGGAGCAACTTATGGAAACTCAGTGCCACTGAGAAGGAATGAACAATAGGAGAACAGCACAGACAACAAAAGTGGATGAGCATTAACCTCCAGTAGTTCTGGTACTTTATACATTTCATTCAGGTATTACTACCTAGCATCGCTGCCCATCCTCACTGCAACTGAGGAACAACTCAAGGTTATTTCTGCCAACTTTATGCTTTGCACACACTTCAAGTAAGATTTCTAGCAAGAAGAGGTTTCACTTAATTCTACATACTATTCAATACATTTATTTTCTTATTTGTTTGGAACAAGGTAAACCCTAAGCTACAGTAGCAATCCAGAGCTAAAAAGCTGCTCTTGGCACTTAAACCATCCTAAGAACTTCAGCTTTCCCATTCAACAGAAAAAAAAGAAACACATCCCAGATTCCCAAGTCTTCATACATACACAGTACACAGAATTCTTAGTATCTTGCTCTTGTAGTTTGGCAGATCAGCTTCCAAAACACCAGCCAGTCCCTCCAAGTTGCTCTCTAGGGATGAGGTGCTCTAAAGAAAAAGAGAAAAAAAAAAGTGAGGTGGAAGCAGTAGTTTATGCCCTGTTGTGAGGAACAATTCCAGCCCTGCTAGTGCCACAGAACTGCTCCCCTGCACTAAGTCCCCTTTTAGCAGGGACCACTAAAATGGGCTAAAACTGCAAGCCAGGAGCAGAAACGCCTCCCACCAAGGCCAGGGGCCTCCAGGAAGGGCCGATACCAGCACCAACAGCATCAAGCAAAGCGAAACGCCCTCACGCCATTCGGCTTTACCTTAGAGAACACACGTGCTGCATTCCTTGCATCCTTAGCCCTTCTTTCCTTTTTTTTTTTCTCCTTTTTTTTTCTTTTTAAGCTGGCCTCAGCCAAGCCCGCGCTCAAGAGCTGGGCAGCAGCCAGGCCTCGTTAATCCCTCCAGCTCCTCGGGGGGCAGCAAGGACACCCACGAGCACAGAGCAGCCAGCCCCAGCACCTCCAAAGCAGCAGTAATAACTGAGGAAGGTCACAGGACAAGGATGGTTTTCCCTGTTTTTTTTTTGCGGGGGGAGGTTTCTGGGGGTTGTTTGGCCGCCGGAACGCTCCGTTCCCGTTCCCGCTGGCGCGCACCTTCTCTCCCACGCGGCAGATGAGCGACTCGAGCCTCTCCTCGATCTCGGACGGCTCCGACGTCCTGCGCCTCTTGTGCGGCTGCCCTGCTCCAACGAGACCGCCCGCGCCGTTAAACGGCCGCCCGCGTGCCCGCGCCCGCCGCCCCCCCCCCCTCCCTCCCCGCCGCCGGGCCCCTCACCGTCGCTGTCGTCGC